GGGGCGTTGGAACGGGGCTGGGGGGTTGGAACGGGGCCGGGGGCGGCTGGAACGGGGCGCGGGGCCGCGCCGCCCCCGGCCCCAGCGCCTGCTGTTTCCCTGCAGAAGCTCGAGGACGGGCATCTAAACAACTCGCTGGGATCGCCGCTGCAGGGCGACGTGTACTTCCCGCGCCTGGTGAGCCGCCCTGCTGGCGTTTTCTTGCTTTCTGACCCGTTTTGTAACCCCCCACCCACGCACCCACCCGGCGAGCGCGGCGGCTGGTGACCCCCCGCCATCTCCATGTCCTCCTGCAGATCGTCCCCTTCTGCGGGCACATCAAAGGCGGCATGAGGCCCGGGAAGAAGATCCTGGTGATGGGCATCGTGGACCTCAACCCGGAGAGGTAACGAACCCATCCCTCCTTCCCCACAGCCATCCCTCCTTCCCCACGGCCATCCCTCCTTCCCCACGGCCATCCCTGCATCGCTACAGCCATCCCTGCGTCCCTGGACCGTCCCTCCTTCCCCACGGCCATCCCTCCTTCCCCAGGACGTGTATTTTTGTCACTGTCCATGTAGCATGTGGCTCTCTCCTCTGGCCCGCAGAGGGGGCATTGCTGTGAGGGGCTTGGCTTGGGCGCACGGTAGACCGTATATATGTGTGTATATATGTGTATATATGTGTATACGTGGACGGGTAGGTGCACCCGCACGCACGCACACGCTCCTTGGTGGTGTTGCAGCTTCGGCATCCGCCTGACGTGCGGCGAGTCCGAGGACCCCCCGGCCGACGTGGCCATCGAGCTGAAGGCCGTGTTCACCGAGAGGCAGTTCGTGAGGAACTCCTGCGTGGCCGGAGAGTGGGGCGAAGAGCAGTCGTCCATCCCCTACTTCCCCTTCATCCCCGACCAGCCCTTCAGGGTGAGTAGCGGGATCGCGGCCGGCCGCCCGGAGCGCCGGGCAGCTCCTGCTGCTGCTCGCGGCTCCGCGCGGGGCTGTAAACACATCGCCCGGGTGTTATGACAAGCTGGAGAGGGTAATGCCTGGGATGAAGCACGCTTCCCGAGTTTAGTTTTATAGCTATAAATTAACAAGTGCCTCTATGTTATTACTGCGCTTTAAGTTATTACCCGAGAATGTAAATGCTTGGTTGGACTGCCACATGTTTTGTTTTTTTGTAATGGACGCGCTGTTTGCAATTGAGTGCAGCTAATGAGGATCTCGTTCACCCTTTGTCTCTAGGGATGACCCTCTGTGTGAGCAGATTAAATAACTGGGCAATAGTGGTGTCCTTTTCTGAGCCCGGGGGGTTAAATCTCTAGGGGGTAGTCACTCGAAAACGGTGCGCGTGGAAGTGCTGCGGTGCGAGGGATGGACTGGTTGACTTAGAAGCCGTTTCCCATCCGTAGTGTTTATGGTTACGTGAAGATGTCTTTGCTAATCAGGACTAACAAAGTCTGCCGCTGCAGAGGGCTGCTTCTCTCTCCGCTGTTTGGCTACGCTGGGAAAAGGGCTGACCCAGAAAAATCCTCCTCTTCCTCCCTTCCACTCCCTTAGGAAACCTCGGTGGCCCCTCCAATCACTGCCAGTGCTCTACCAAACTGTCCTAATCCCCCCCAAGATGATCTCCCCCAGCCCCAAAAGCTCACCCAGACGCCTGGGCTTTTTCGCAGGGGAGTTTGTGACCGGTTTTGCTGCGAATCGCGTGCGCTCCGCTTGCTCCTGCAAACTCTCCTGCCGTGCCTGGCAACACCCTTCGGCGCGCGTGGGAAACGCTCGGAAAGGGCTCGGGGTTCTGGGAGAGGGTTACGCTCGGAGCTCGCGTGGGTGGCACCGGGGCCTGCAGACAAGCTAGACACCGTCTAGAGCGTGTTTTGTGGACGTCCCACTGCTGACAGTTTACATTAGAGGACAGAAACACCACACATCCTTGGCGGAGATACTGTAGAGGGGGAGTTTTGCTTTTCTGCTGTCTTTTCCCCGGCCGCACAAGCGGGATGCGGGCTCCATCGCCCGGATGGTCTCCCTCTGGGTGGGTGGATGGACAGTCCGGTGCTGCTGCCCATGAGCTGTAGCCCGGTTCAGCCGTGGTGTGGGGGGCCACCTAGAAGGTCCCTAGAAGGGACCCGGGATTTACACGCGGATTCCCTGCAGGTTTTGTTTTGGGCCCGTCCAAACCCAGACATCTGCAAGGGCACGAGCGAGCTGGGCTCCCGAACGCTCCCTGCTCCTGGCAGGGCAGCTCCTGCAGAGCTGGACTTTGAAGC